CTTGTTACTAGAAGCGATGCACTTGTTCCTAGTAGCTTCTTGTTACTTGTTCCTAGTAGCTTCTTGTTACTACTAGTATGGCACTTGTTACTAGAAGCGATGCACTTGTTCCTAGTAGCGACCTTCAGGCACGGGAATTCGCGCAGCGAACTACGCTTTGTGGCACCGTGCCAATGCCTCGCACAGCACAAATCAACACCAGGAGGATTGGCGACGCATTGGGAGAGTCTTTGTTCACAGTCGAGAGTTCATTGGCCACACAAGTTTATATTGAAGCCTTCGGAAGAACTATTGATCTCCCAAAGACTTCTTCATTTGTATTCTTTTTATCTCTTTTAACCTTCCCCAAGCTTGTTTACTCTTGGGGTTCTCTCTTCTCTCAGGAAAAAGACACTGGCCACAGTCTCTGGCTTTCCGGGTGTCCTGTTGTCATCTTCTTCAAGTGTCCCCTGGCCGCGCTGGCGATGTCCTCTGACCGCGTTCGCACACCCTGTGTCCTTCTGAGAAAAGTAAATTTCACTTAACCCATCTTAACCCCGTGGCCGGGTATTGTCCTCCTCTTCTCCGACGCTCGTGAATCCTGTGTCCTCCTCTTGCCCTCCTGGCTGTCCTCTGGCCGCGCTGGTGTCCTGGTGTCCTGACGCTGTGCCCTCCTCTTGTCGTTCCCCAAACAGTTTGGCCTCATCGTGTGGCTCTGTGCGTCGGCTGGTGTCGTGGGTCTGTCTGTCCTTGTCCGCGTTGTCGGCCCTTTTATTGGTCGAACACGGCGTCCGGCTATGAATGCAACAGTGATGCAGCGCTTGGTATCATCTTCGGATTTTCGCATGACATATATGTTTGGTATCCCTTCGTGTTTGCATATGTGACCTCGGTAAACAGGAACTATTGAATTCTGGTGTAATTGTTTATATATCTTGTTCCTAGTCGCGTCCTTTGTTCCTAGTAGCGATTGCCAGGAGCCCCTAGTAGCGATGCACTTGTTACTAGTAGCGTCCATGTTCCCTTTGCTTCGCAGGTGGTCCGAGCCTCGAAGATCGTGGAGGATCTGCGACGTCGGCCGCCGCGACGGTGCGACGCGACGGAGCCTCCACGACCGACGCGACTCTTCCGTCCACCTCGGGCGGATGCGGTGCTGGGCAGCGCATGCCCCGAGGCGGGAGAGAAGCGAAGCGCAGCGCAGCGCATGTTTTTTGTGGAAAATATGACAGAAATGATCCAAAAAGGAACAGTCTAATGATCCAGAGCGTTTTCAGAGCAATAGGTCTCAAAGAGAGATCAAACGATGGTAGCAAGGTTTCACGGTTTCATCCTTCTGAGGTGACCAAAGAACAGTAGCTTCTTGTTTCAATTCTCATGAATTCTTGCCCCCAATAGCTTCTTGCTCCTAATAGTACGGCCAGGAGCTACTAGTAGCGTCCTTGCTCCTAGATGCCAGGAGCCCCTAGTAGCGAACATGGTTCCTAGTAGCGTCCTTGAGGTGACCAAAGAACATTTGCAAACGTGTTTGCGACAGTCATCACCCTGTGCCTGGCCCTGAGAGAACCTGTGCCTTTCTCAAAATTGCCACAAAGGCTTGGTCAAGCGCATCCAAGTGCCCAGTTGGATGACGCTTCAAACGCTTTTTTTTTTGGTCAAGTCTTGAGGTGCTTCGCCAAGCTGCAAAATTGCTGGAAGGCCCTGGCACCCTTGAGAACTGGCTTCAAATAGCTGCCAATGCCACAGTGAGAGTCTCATTTCCCTACACCTTCGAGATGAGCGTTACTGAGTTGCAAGTAGAATTCTGTGTAGCGCCCGTGGTCGAGTTAAAGACACATCAGCGGCCAAACATCTGCATTTTTGACACCATTGAGCTATATAGCCAATCCGAGACAAACTCTGGCAAAGTTGTGCCGGTTTTCAGCCATTTTGTGCTCGGAGTCAAGGACAGATCAGGCGCAGCTGGGGCCTCCTCTTCATTGAACCGCATCTTGAAGACTGCGGATTTGAAGATTGAGGTGTGAAGGCTGAAATTCAAACGGACACGTGCAGTGGTCCGATTCATGTCGGGACTGTCTCAAGCCAAGACGATAGACAGAAGACGATCAAAGGCGTTGAGTTTCCTTTTTGCATCTTTTGTTATGTTCATAGCTTGCTCCTAGTAGTCCCCTAGTAGCGTCCTTGCTCCTAGTAGCGATGCCCTTTGCTCCTAGTAGCTTCTTGCTCCTAGTAGTAAGGCCAGGAGCCCCTAGTAGCGTCCTTGCTCCTAGTAGCGATGCCCTTTGCTCCTAGTAGCTTCTTGCTCCTAGTAGTAA